AATCCAGTTTCTCAGATTATTTGTTTAGCATACAGATTGAATCAGTATAGTGAAAGCACACACCTTTCCTGATTTTAAACCATTCAGTGTTCCCTTGTTCTGTTGGAACAACTGCCCCTTGGCTTATGTACAGGTTCCCTATGAGCACAATTAAGCGTTCGAGAATACCCATTTTTCTCAATGTTATCCATAGCTTGTCATGAGCCATATAATTAATAAATCATATATATTCACACAACTGTGTACACACACATAGTCAACAACAGGGTTTTTCCTAGGGGTGCTGGGTGTGAAAGGGCCAGAGTGAATAGTGTTGTAGAGGTTCATTAAGCAAGATGAATGGGATGGTAGGTATATTTATGGGTGTTCTGAGTAGCTTGCAGGCGCAGCAGCAGGATGGGCCCAGAAGATCCTTCCTCAAGAATTTCTTGAGCTTATCTGCTAGGACAGCTTGCCTCAGTTGATGAGGAGGATGACCATAAGAATGATGTGAAAAAGGACTCCTACCGAGGTTAGGGGATGAGCATCCAGTCCCCTCTAGGGTGACAAGTGGTGTTTGGCAACTACTGTTGTCTTCTGTGGCTCACCTCAGTAATGGTAGCCAGTGGTTCCCCTCTGGCAGTACTAATAGTTACAGCCCACACTAGTGGCTTCTGGGGAGGTGAGAGCAGGTAATTGCACTTTCTTTTAGAGATTCTGGGGGCCTTAATTTATTGTTTGAACCAGCAGGTTCAAGAGCTGCTGCTTGTCAGCTTCCTCTGGAGGAGTGAAAACTGACTCATTACTGGGTTGATGTTGTTTACCAGGTCCTCACCTGTGCAAGCTGTCCAGCCTCTTAAAATTTCAAGGGTAAAAGAGGGATTATTGTTGTTGTTAAGTGCTGTCGAGTTGGTTCCAACCCATAGCAAACAACCCTGGATAGGGTTTCCGAGAAGCAGCTGGTGAGCTTGAACCGCCGACCTTGTGGTTCAAACTAACTTTGCAGTCCAGCGCATTAATCCCACAGCGCCACACCAGGGCTCCCTACAGGTGGGATAGTTATATACTTTTGGTCAGGGAATTAGAACTAGGTTGATAGCATTTGTATTCTCCCCTCTAACCACAGCTTCATCGTTGGGGATTTAACACCAGTCAGTACCACTTGCACTATTATCAGTAATATTAGCATACATTGTGCTAGCATTTTATACAGGTCCCATGTCAAAAACACTGTCTCTCAGTGAAGATTATTTCTAGTGTCAGATCCATACGTGTTCTCCTTTTTCCTCCTCTTCTACTTTTCTCAGGTTCCCCCTTTGCCCTTTACCATACATTTTTCTAGAATCTAGACTGAGGTTTAAGCACAGCTATTATATTGGACTTGTCTTCCTCATGCTGTCTTGGGTATGAGCTCCTTTTCCAGGTGCTGTGCCTTCTGCTAGGTTGTTGAAGTACAGGTTTAAGTAACTTTAAAAAAAAGATATGTTGGAGGCTAACTTTCTGAGTCTTTGCATGTCTGAAAATTACTTTGTTGGCCCTCATAACCAAGTGAGAATTTGGTTGGGTGTAGAATTCATTTTCCATCAAAACTTTGAAGGCCATATCTTCAAGCATCTGGTGTTACAGTAGCCAGTCTGATGCGTGTTCCTTCTTAAGCGATCTGGTTTCTTTTCTTCTTGGGAGATTTCAGGGTCTTCTCTGAGTTGATAGTATTCTGAATTTCCAGACAGGAGTCCTGGTGTGGCACTGTGGGATAAGGCAGTGGACGCAAGTTCAGTATTTCAGACTCACCAATTGTTCCTCAGAAACCTTACACAGGGTTGCTCTCAGTTGAAACGATTCAATAGAATTTAATAACAACAATATGACTAGATAAGAGTGTTGCTGTGGTGTTATAGGATAAGCACTAGACTGCTAGCCTAAAAGTCAGTGGTTCAAGCCCACCAGCTGCTCTTTGAGACCCTATACAGGGTCACTATAAGTCAGGAACTGACTGGACGGCACCTACAATAACAACAAATGACTAGATTCAGATCTTTAATTCATTGATTGGGCATTATAGTGATTTGCAGCCTTCTACTCAAGAAAAGGAGCTCTGGTAGTGTAGTGGTTTATGAATCGGGCTGCGAACCGCAAGGTCAGCAGTTAGAAACTACCAGCTGCACCATGGGAGAACGATGAGGCTTTCTGCTCCTGTAAAGATTTACAGCCTCGGAAACCCTGTACAGGGTCACTATGAGTCGGAACAGACTCCACGTTACATAACAACAACAACAACCACTCAAGAAGAAAGGAGTCCTGGTATGGCGCTGTCGATTAATATGCTCGACTGCAAGGTTGATTTGAACTGCCGGCACACTACCACCACTCAAGAAGATATCTTTGAAAATGTACTCCCATTCTCATTCCTTTCTGCACTCCTATTAATGAGTAATTCAATCGTTTAAATTGACTCTCCGATTATAATTTCTTGATTATTTTATTTTATTTTGCCTGTGTGTGTTTTTTTTAAACTTTATTTCCAAGAACTCTTTCTTGTTCTATTTTTCATAGAAGTCTTGTTTCTTCTAATGTAGTTGCTTCTTTAATTTATTTGATGATACTTAATAACAAGCTTAGATTTGTTTCTAAGTTCTATTTCCTGTAAGGATAATTTTTCCCTTTTTGCTTGTCTTGGGCTCTCTCTCTTATGTTGTAGGCTTTCCTCAAATGTCTGGTGATCCTTGATTGTCAGAAATAGTTAAGAATAAAGCAGTTGAGTAAAAACTCTCTGGGCATAGATGGGGCTTGCTGACAGGCAGGGTCTGTCTAACCTCATGGGGAGCTGGGACAGGAACTGACCTGAATGGAAGGGTGCTTTATTCAGGCATTACCACCGCACCAGCTCTCTAGATTCCCAGATGGAAATCCATGGCATTTCTCTAGTCTTGCCTCTCCTCCTCCCTCCCCCCCTCCAGTTTTTTAAGAGGAGGTAGTTGGGAGTGACTGCCTGCCATGGCCAGTTTTGTACTGCAGTAGAGTGGAGAAACAGGTCTTGCATTTGACCACTTGTCTGGAGCCTTCCTGAGGCTGCCTAGGGCAAGATTTGCTCTCTCCACCAGACTTCAAGGCTGTGTGACCTCCTGTTCTGTTTCCTTTCTGTTTTCTGAAAATCGATTGACACTTTTTATCTGCCAGTGGCCAGACCATACGTTTTCTCTTCCTTGGTAGTTTTGTTATCTGAGTTGTGTCACGTATTTTGGACATGATATCAGGAGAGACCACTCTCTGGAGAAGAGCATCTTGCTTGGTAAAATAGAGGGTCAGTGACAAAGAGGAAGACCTTCAACGAGTTAAACTGACACAGTATCTGCAACAGTGGGCTCAAACATAACAATTGTGAGGATGTGAGGGACCAGGCAGTGTTTCTAACAACAGCAGCGTATTTTACTGGTGTTTCAGGAAGGAGAAAAGAGAAACGTTTGCTTTTAGTATTTAAATAGGAAGCCAGTTTGCTGTAAAAAAAATGTAAGCCTTAGATAACAAAATAATATATCTTTTTCACAACAATGTTTTCTGCTCTCTTAGAAATGGTGTGTGTCAAGTATACTGATTAGGTAGAGACTGGTGGAGCCCCAACACTGTGGCCCTTGGTCACCCTTCAGATTAGGCTCTAAACTTACCCCTGTGGCTCAGTTGGTAGCCAAGTAATAGATAGATATATGTTGTTGTTAAGTGCCATCGAGTTCGTTTCAACTCATAGTGACCCTGAGGTGGGTTTGAAGCACTGACCTTGCAGTTTTCAGTCCAGTGCAGGACCTCAGTCAGATACATGGTAGTGGTGTGTTGTTGAGTCTGATACAGGATTTCTGAGGTTGTAAATCTTTACAGGAGCAGAAAGCCTTGTCTTTCTCCTACAGAGCAGCTGGTAGATTCAAACTGCTGACTTTGTGCAGCCCAGTGCATAATCCAAAATGCTACCAGAACTCCTTAGTTACATATATTGTTGTTGTTAAGTATTGAGTCTATTCTGATTCATAGTGACCCTGTGTAGGGTTTCTGAGGAGCAGCTGGTGGGTTTGAACCAGCAACCTGGAGGTTATGAGTCCAGTGTTTATCCTACAGTACCACACCCAGACTCATTTATATGTAAAGGGGAACAAAAACACTAGTTAGGTATACACATCATAGAGTGGTCAACCATTCGAGATCAAAAGGGCAGCATTTACCCAAGGACAAAGTTCAAAAGCCTAGGGAAAAAAAGGAGGAATGGAAACAAGAAACACAGAAAGGAAGTGAAATAAGTGATGTCATATTGAGGGCATTGCGTCATTGAGAGAAAAGGAACTATGATTGGTTGAGTATAAAACTGATGATCTGCTCTGTAAACATTCTCTCTAGTGACAGTAAAAAGTTAAAAGATATTTAATGAAAAAGAAAACAAATGGTGGGCTCTTGAAAACATTGTACTGAATGAATGAACAAAGTCATTCACAAAGGATCGTGTATTATATGATTCCATTTACAGAAATATCTAGACTAGGCAGATCTATAGAGACAAAAAGTAGATTAATGATTGCTGTGGGATGGGGGATTGGAGGGTATACGAGGTTTCTCTTAGTGATGACACAATATTCTAAAATTGTGGTAATGCTGGCACAAATCTTCAGATATGCTAAAATAACAGAATTGAGTGTTTTAAATGGGTGAAGTGTGTGATGTGTGAATTCTATCTCAAAAAAAGCTGTTAAAAGTGGTGGTTATTTTTGTTGAGCATGATATTATTAGTCACATTCTTTGTGAATTAGGATCAAAGAAGTCATCATCAGTATTCAATGTCCAGGGTAAATGGTGGTGGTAAGACTTATGAATCATCTGATGGTGTGTATGGTGGTTGAGTGCCATCAAGTCAGTTCCAACTCATAGTGTATAGGGTTTCCGAAGCTATAAATCTTTACAGAGCAACTGGTGGACTTGATCCTTGGACCTAACTATGCCACCAGGTCTCCTTCTGATGGTGTGCATGACCTTTTGTTTAATAGGCTCAAAAATAAAGAAGTTGGTATATCCACCTGGTTTCATGGGAATAGCTGCTTCTGTCTATTATCCACAACAAGCCATCAGCTTTGCCCAGGTAAGTTAGACCCGGTTTTCTTTGTCTTGTTTTGTTTTAATCACATGTATTTATTGATGGATTGAATAATACCGTTTTAATGAAACAGTAAGTCCACAATCATGGAATTAAAATAGTTTGCTATATAACCAAAGGGAGTGAGGGGAAGCCATAATCTTAGGAATTTTAAATATGTAAGTCTTGTAGATCTTGTAAAGTACCCCTCTAACAGATCAGTATCATATAATTTTCCCCTTTTATACAATCCTTGCATACATCGCTTTATCACAAATCAGACTGTTGCTTCATAAGGATTTCATCATTCATTTATACTTGAGGCAACCAACTAGGCAACTTCCCTGCTCCCTAGCCCTTCCCCATCTCATTATGGTGGCATTCTTTAGTAATTCCCTTCCTAAAGAATTGTGTACACAACTTAGATCACTTTTCAAAGCAAGGAAATAAGTAAGCAGTGAGTCAAGAAAGTCAGTCAAAGGCAGATAGACAGACATTAGGATGGCAACTGCAGATTCTGTGAGGTCCTAACTTAAGCGGAGAAGTTGCTCTGGCTTGCTAAGAGGCCTGTAGCATGTTATCAGTGCAGGCCCTTTGTTTCTGAGGGATTGATTAGTTGTAGTCTACATGAGGAACTAGGAAACCAATGTAACCAGGCAGCTAATATTAACAATACATTCAGTGCTTTGGATCTGTATTGGAACTGACTAGAAAAATAAGACTTCTAGTAAATAATTTTTCAAGCGTAAAGTTCATAAAGACTTTTGTACAAAATGTCAACACTGAGGATAATCTTTAATCTTTTGTACTGGTATAAATTAGGCACTTCCTTAACACCAATCTTCCTACTTGGAAAAATGAAATGAAAACCATTCTGGTGCATATAACACTGAAGCATAAATCATGCTGCAGAGGTGTGCTTACAGGATGCTTTATAGGATGCCTGAGGTTTCTCAAAAATGCCATGAGAAAATCTCTAAGCATATTGTCAGAACAGCTATTCTGGTGGTGATGGTGCTTCAAAACTAAACAAAACCTCAGGCAGATGGTATCTTCTGAAGAGCCAGCACTACATAAACACAAGTAGTCACATTGGTACTTACGTTGAGAATCAGAGGCCAGAGGTAGAGTGGCCTGAGCAAAGCCATCTGGAAGAGTTCACTGTATACCTCTCATAGGGCCACCACCTTTCAAGAAGAATTTCTATCGAACAGATTTTTGATGACAGAGCAGAGTGCAGGGGAACATGAGATGCCACATTCTTCTGAGAGACATGTACTTCTGGGGAGGAAATATCTTCCATTTATGAGTAAAGATGGATAAAAACTGCAGACGACTGAGCTATCCTGCCTAGTCAGAAACATATTTAACAGACATAGCTTTGGGGTACTAAGTAGAACAGAGGGTTTCTGAGGCTTTAGTAAAAAGCAGGGAGACCGACAGACCAAAGTGAATGGTGACAGAGAAGTAGGAAGCAAAGGACATATTAGTAAAAAGGATGAAGGAGCTTGCTGAAGCCTAGTTGAAGGAAAGGCAGCATGGCTACCATCAACATCCAGTGGAAGAGCTTTGCTGGCTGGTATTTGGCGTGCCTCCCTCTCTTGCTTTTTCAGACTGGATGGATGTGTGGCACTCAGTAGAACAGGGGAAGATGATATTTCTGAATGGAGAACCTGGGAATGGATACTGAAAATCAATGGGCTAGGTGTACTACTCTGTAGTGCCTCGCTAAAACCAAAGGCAGGTTTGTGTTGATAGAATGTATCTAGGGGTCGTGCAACAGTAGTACTTTGGGAGAAGGACTCTCAAGTTCCAGTTCTTAAATACTAGAAAGCAAGGGGTACTTTGGTCTCCGTCCTTTAGTGAAGATGTCATTTTTCCAAAACCATAACAAACTCAGTGAAAGATATGGCACTATCCCGATCTGATCAGCCTCCTGGGATGGTCCTGTATGCAATGCTACCCAGCTGCTCATCCGAGATATTTACTCCAACAATCATTCATAGTACCTGTAACTGCTTATTGTAGGATATCTTGTCATCTTTATCCAAATCATACAGTCAAAAAGCAAAATGTAATTTGTTGGCTTTGGCTGTTTGATGGTTCTGGTCTATTCTCATCTTTGCTCTTTTCATTATCTTCAATTAATTGAAATTAAGCCAATATTATCATGACTCCATGGAAGGTTACCTGGTCCTTTTCCTCTGAAAAGAAGGCATTGATGATCCAGTCCCCCAATGGGTTGATGGCAAGTTCTGGAACTCACTGGAAATCTTCTATGCTGAGAATCCCTTTGTCTCCTTTGTTAAGGCTGATGAATTAACTAGAGGTAGATGATTTGACTGTGTGAAAAGCCAGTCTCCTTCTTAATCTCCTTGAGCTCTTCTTTCCACAGTGATGTGGAGTCCTGAGACCCCATCCCCCAGCCGAGGGCTCCCCAGCAGCACCTGAAGAGATGGCAAAAGAGGAGGGGAGAGGCTACAGGTCAAGAAGGGAGAGGGGCCTCATCCTTATTTGTGTGTGTATGGATTGACAACTTAATTTTCATTTTATTTTGCAGCTTTTTATGACACCAAACTAAAATTAATTTGCACATATACACAACAGCAAATTTTAATCCTTTTAAAAATATTTTATTGTGAATTATGTTTACATGGGCAAATATTAGCTTTACATTCATCCTATCATATATCATTTTCATTGCCATGGTTACAGTCCCCTCCATGCATCATCAAACAACCAAAGGGTATATACCCTGCAAGCCTGCCCCCCCCAGTCATCAGCACACAGCCCCTCTCCCTCTCTGGGTTTAAAGTCCCCAGCTGCTCCATCTCTCCACGTCATCGTCTCTGCCTCCATCTCTGGCATCATTGTTTCTCTGGGTAGGGACCTGTGCTCCTGAACTGCAAAGTCAACCCCTCCCCTCCTTTTGCTACAAAACATCTACCTTTACATTTCAAACCCTCAAGGTAAATCCTGATAGCTGTTATTTACTATTGTGCCACATGAGTGCTATCCCCATCTCTATTTATCAGCTCCATCCAGACAGATTGGATACTACTAAGTGGAGATTCTACCTTTCTCCCCACCCTCTGGATCTGGGCTCCCTCTTGAAAGCTTGTATGCCAGTCACTTCTTGCCTTTGTAGCCCCAAATTTTGGGTAGCCAATGTCCAAATCACCCATCCCTGTCTACACCTGTGTGTCACAGGGGTGGGAATGATCCTCGCTGTAAAGATTTGTT